ATAGTACATTGATAATGACTATGAATTAATTTTCGCTATTTTCTTGATCAAAATTACGATTCAATAGGATCGTAAGAAAATATATAAATCTCGTGATAATTAGGGATGAACCGAAATATATTATTGTTGATTCTAAATTTTATGGATATTTGAATGATTTATGGAATATTTTCTATGATATTAATTATCTCTTCTAGATATTCCTTAATCGGGATTAGATAGTATGGGGTTCGGAAGGCATTAAAATATCTAATACTAGAGGGGACCCGTCGATTCCATCGACGGCATATACGTCTGCCAATCTCTAAAAGAAGCTAGGGGATATCGAGAAATGTGGACGGAAAATACGGACCAAAGATCAAAGCAAATAGAAAAAATTGAACCTCACGTCCTAAAATAGATAAGAATGATTCCCAGATAATTGGTGGCAAGACTTTGACGGATTTTGCTAACGATAGGGGAGGATTCGTAAAATTATCTAGAAATCAAGATGTTATGGTAACCGCACTAACCCGAGACATACATCTAAGAGCGAGATTTGCAATATTAGAGAAGCTCGAACGCACCTGAAAAACGTGAAAGGACGGATTGGTATTACAATAGTATCATATTTTAGTCGAGAAATAAAACTAAATGAATCTAAAATTGATCAAATACACAATACCATAACAACCCAAAACCACCAAAGCGGACCAAACGAACAACACCATAACAACCCAAAACCGACCAAGTAGACAACACCATAACAACCCAGAATCACCCAAACAAACAACACCGTGACAACGAACATCCGACCAAACAGACAACACCGTGACAACCCAAAACAAACAGACAACACCATGACGGCCCAAAACCGACCAAGCAAACAATATCATAGCAACCCACAATCATCCATACAGATTAAACAGACAACACCATCACAACCCAAAATCGCCCAAGCCGACAACACCGTGACAACCCAAGCGGACCAAGCGGACAACACTATGACAACCCAAAACCGACCAAACAGACAACACCTTGACAACCCAAAACCACCCAAACGGACCAAACGGACAACACTATGACAGCCCAAAACCGACCAAACAGACAACACCACGACAACCCAAAACCACCCAAGCGGACAACACCGTGACAACGAACATCCGACCAAACAAACAACACCGTGACAACCCGAAACCACCCAAGCGGACCAAGCGGACAACACTATGACAATCCAAAACCGACCAAGCAGACAACACCATGACAACCCAAAATCGCCCAAGCGGACCAAGCGAACAACACCGTGACAACCCAAAACCGACCAAGCAGACAACACCATGAGAGCCCAAAACCGCCCAAGCGGACAACACCATGATAGCCCAAAACCGACCAAGTAGACAAATTCGTGACAACCCAAAACCACCCAAGCGGACAACACCATGACACCCCAAACGACGAAGCGGACAACACTGTGACAACCCAAAACCGCCCAAGCGGACAACATCGTGACAACCCAAGACCGACCAAGCGGACAACACCGTGACAACCCAAAACCACCCAAGCGGACCAAGCGGACAACACTATGACAGCCCAAAACCAACCAAGCGGACAACACCGTGACAGCCCAAAACCACCCAAGCGGATCAGGCGAACAAATTGTGATAGCCCAAAACCGACCAAGCAGACAATACCGTGACAGCCCGAAACCGCCTAAGCGGACCAAGCGGACAACACCGTGACAACCCAAAACCGACCAAGCGGACAGCACCGTGACAGCCCAAAACCGCCCAAGCAGACAACACCGTCACAGCCCAAAACCGACCAAGCGGACAACACCATGACAACCCAAAACAACACCATGACAACCCAAAACCACCCAAGCGGACCAAACGGACAATACCACAACAACCCAAAACCGACCAAACAGACAACACCATGACAACCCAAAACCACCAAAGCAGACCAAGCAAACAACACCATAACAACCCAAAACCGACCAAGCAGACAACACCGTGACAGCCCAAAACCGCCCAAGCGGACAACACCGTGACAACGAACATCCGACCAAACAGACAACACCGTGACAACCCAAAACAAACGGACAACACCATGACGGCCCAAAACCGACCAAGCGGACAGCACCGTGACAACCAAAAACCGCCCAAGCGGACAACACCGCGACAGCCCAAAGCCGCCCAAGCGGACAACACCGTGACAGCCCAAAACCGACCAAGCGGACAACACCGTGACAGCCCAAAACCGCCCAAGCGGACAACACCGTGACAGCCGAAAACCGACCAAGCGGACAGCACCGTGACAGCCCAAAACCGCCCAAGCGGACCAAGCGGACAACACCGTGACAGCCTAAAACCGACCAAGCGGACAGCACCGTGACAGCCCAAAACCGCCCAAGCGGACAACACCGTGACAGCCCAAAACCGACCAAGCGGACAGCACCGTGACAGCCCAAAACCGCCCAAGCGGACCAAGCGGACAACGCCGCGACAGCCCAAAACCGACCAAGCGGACAACACCGTGACAGCCAAAAACCACCCAAGCGGACCAAGCGGACAACGCCGTGACAGCCCAAGGAAAGCCCAAACCTCAATCCGGACAATTCCTAAAATTCCGGGAATTTTCAGCTCCGGGGAATTCCCAAAATTCCCGGGATTTTTAGACAATAAGCGTTAAAATTCCCGGAATTTTCAGGATCCCCCTGCAAGGCCCTCACAAGCAGCCAAATGGACCGGAAGAGGAGGCGGGGCATCCGACGGGGCGGCCGCAGAGCGAAAATAGGGGTCGAGCCCGTAGCCTTTTATAGGGATATTTCAATATCCATTCCCTTTATATAAATCATTTTTCCTTATATCCAGAGGCAAAATTCCCATAATTCCCACAAAAATCCAAGAAATCTCATAATCACCAATAATTCCTCAATAATCATATCTCTCAATAATTTCCTACATCAAAAATCCCTCCCTCCAAGATTTCCTCCCTTAATCGTTCCTCCCCAAAACCTAAACAATCCCTCATCAAATCCTCCTCAACCTCTCAATCCTAACCCCTCAAATCCCAATCCCTCAACCACAACCCCAAATCCAAGCCCTCGACCCCCTCAATCCTCCAATCCCAGCCCCTCCCATCCCAAAACCACTCATCCCCCATCAGACCCAACAAAACCCAAACCAATACAACAAAAACAAAAAACAAATTACGATCCCGAATATAGAAAACTATCATATTCATCGCAAAATATGACATATTATAAACCACGGACCACCACCACGAGACCACCACCAAGAGACCACCACCACAAGACCACCACCACAAGACCACCACCACAAGACCACCACCACGAGACCACCAACACAACCACCCGCACGGACCCCCGCCACGGACCACCACCACGGACCAACCACCACGGACCACCGCCGCGGACCACCACCACGGGACCACCACCACGGGACCACCACCACGGGACCACCACCACGAGACAACCACCACGGGACCACCACCACGGAACCATCACCAGGAGACCACCACCGCGGACCACCGCCACGGACCACCGCCACCCGGCCACCACCATGGGACCACCACCACGGGACCACCATCACGGCCACCAGGGACCACCACCACCACCACGGACACCGCCACCACCACGACAGACCACCACGTATACCAAAGGAGCACCACCACCACGGGACCACCACCACGCTGTGGGACCACCACGACGAACCACCACGGGACCACGGACCACCACCACGGGACCACCACCACGGGCATTCGGGAAAACCCCCCAAAACCCCAGCCTTTCAGCCCCAACCCCTCAGCACCCCAAAACCACCCAACCCCCACCACACCCGACACAACCCAAACCATTGCAGCAAAAGCAAAAACAAAACCCCCCCAAAACACGACAAAACTCCCGACACAAACCCTATACAATTTCTATTAAACCCCAAAACCCTACACCGTAAAGCGTAAAGCCCTGAACCCGGGGGATCCCGAAAATTCCCGGAATTTTAAATTCCTAGGATTTTTCGAGAGCTGTTGCTGATATGTGATCGTGAGGCCGAACCCCCTTGAACAGCTGGCGGGCGGCGACCGTCATCGGAACTACTCTGGACCAAGAGATTTCCTTGACGTCATCCCTGTTGCGCTGGAACCTTAAATCCAACCCGGAAAGCCTGAACCTCAATCCGGGTGATTCCGAAAACTCCGGGAATTTTCAGATCCGGGTGATTCCCAAAATTCCAAGGCTTTTTGAACAAAAAACTTGAAAATTCCCGGAATTTTCCGGATCCCCCTGCAGCCGGAAGAGGAGGCGGGGCAACCGACAGGGCGGCCGCAGAGCGAAAACAGGGTCGAGCCCGTAGCCTTTTATAGGGATAATACACATTTCCAAATCAAAAATAGAAAAAATAAGAAGAACACAAAATTCGCTGGATATTTTAGGAAAATGAGAATAGGAATATATCAAAAGAATTTCATGATCTCCATGAATAAATTACGGCCTCGACCGGCTCTGTGGCGGCCTATCGTATGCCCGCTCTATTCTTCCATTCCTGGCTGCGTGTGGGGGCCTTATCAGTCCGTCCCACAACGCATGGTACATCTCATCTCAGGTGAGATTATGAAGTGGTTTTGCCAGTCATATTCCAACTCAAGCATAGTAGCCAAAGATATCGCTAGTTTGGGGGCACACTCGACATTCCTCATCGGCATCGAACAATGAAAGACCAAGTCGCATGGAAAGGATGATATCTTGAAATGCAAGTGTCAAATGCCTGACTCGGAATTGCCCGTCAACCCAAGCTCCAGTATAAATCTCCACTCTCTTCCGTCAAATGATCTAGATTTTCCAATTTGTCAATTAAAGTGATTAGAAAGATGTGAAAATTTTTCCATTGCCGTGTTAATGAAAAACACAGAATATTCATGGAAGTAACCCCTGCTCCGCCACAGTGCGTAAGCAAATGTACGTTGACCTCACTTCAATGCGCTCCAACTTTCTGCCCACATCAGACTCCATCGCCGTCGTCACTTGCCATGATTCTTGCCAGCCTGGCGTCAACACATGAACGAGACGCTGCAGCAAATTCGTGTTCAAGGACTGAGCCCGCAGATCTGGTTCAAGAATTCTCCCGCCTTCCCAAGCTCTGCCACACGCTGGACTTAATTAGTCTAGACTAACACTAGCCTAGCACTTTCGGGCCCGTACCATCATGACTCACTCCGACACACCGGGCCACGTTTGCATGGGGAGCTGCAGCCACATAAAACGAGAACTGCTCTTGAACTTAACCAGGGCAGGTGAGCCATCTGATTAAGGCCGCCTCACTGACTTTGGGCCTGAGACAAGATTGAGATGACGATGCCACTACAAGTAGGTGCGAAACCTCAGGGCCGAGCAAGTTGACAAGGATGAAATCAGATGCCTGGCAGATGCTCAAAGAGATTCCTGGCAAAGGAAACTCGGCAGCAGTAGCGTCCTGCAGTTCGATCGCGCTCCATCGCTTCTCCGGCTTCTTGAGCCTGGTGTACTGGACTGAGGTATTGCAGCAAGGCAAGGCCAACTGATCTCAACAAAAAGGCAGCGCCGACCACTTTGTTTAATCGCATCCATGCCGGCAACACAGTTGAACTTCGACGAAGTGGCAAAGTCTGACAGGATTGAGGCGCCCGTACGTACCATCAGGTGCACTGCCCAGATCCGACATCAAGTAGTGCAGCTCAGCATGGAGAAAAGAGACGCTGCGGAGGGAAGCATCGGGAAACACAGGCCGGCAAGACTCTCTTGAGAAGCGGCCCGTGGGGAGACGAGGCTCTGGCCTACCGCAGGGCCCCAAGTGGTGCTACGAGCTGTGCTCGGGCATTTGCAGTGAACTTGCAGGCCTGTGACATAAGTTGTCGAAGAGCAGCGGAAAGGAGGCGACACTCCCGTAAGGATACACACCTTTCAGCCCGAGCTTAGCAAAGTCAACCAGGCAGCGCAACCGCAACAGTCAAAACGCTAAGGTTGACTCCGCAAGCAAGCTCGTAGACGCACAGACCCAAGCTCCAGATGTCAGCCGCAAAGCTGTAGTCCTGGGAGACAGATTTGAACAGCGGTGTTGAGCCCACGGCATTCTCTTCATAGTCTGCACTGCCTCTCAGTGCAAATTCCTAAGTTCAGTCATCCTCCCCGAGAATTCGCTCTGGAGACATATGGGTGGCAGTGCCCACGAAGGTGTCACAAACCTCCGAGTTACTGTGAGGGGCATGGTGTGGCAACCAAACAGCATGGCCCAGACCGTCAACGAATCTCCCAGATTTTTGGAGATGCCGAAGTCGGTGACCTACCGCTGCAGCAAAACCCGAGCAAATCGTACCATCAGAACTCGTGTTTTTTTGTCATCTCTAGTAGCGCTTCTACTGCCGTTGCGATCGTCAATGTTCAGAACGATTTAAGCTCTGTGCACCTTCACAGATCCGCGCGAGTTGACAAGGATGTTCCCAAGCTTGACGTCTCGGTGCACCACGTTGTTGAGATGCAAGATTTTGAGGCCCTGCAAGTGTCGAACGTGATGATACTGTGCAGTATCGAAAATGAAGGCGAAAGCTTCGCCTCCAGAATCTGCATCAGGATGAGTGCCTTGCCGGCCCGGGCCCGAGTGTGCTTGCAGGAGTTGGTTTTTGCTGGCAAGTTAAGCTCCAAACCAGCAGATCTTCCGGAACTTCTTTGACACGCCGCTTGACGTCAGCCAAACTACCATAGTCCTTGGCTGCTTCAGCGTCATGAACCTGATGTCTGGATTGGCCCTTAGAAAATCGAGCGCAGTCGTGCCTAAGCCAGGCACCATGTACTCTAAGGCCACATGGACGCAGCCAGACTCCTTCAGTTCGAAGGTCTTAAGCAGTCGTGTTCTCGCAGGAGCCATGAACAAAGGGTACCATCCTTTCGAACCCGCAGTCCTTGTGCACGTACCTAGAGATGGCAGGCACAGGCAGGACACAGAGGCTCCAGGAACAACCGCTTGATTGATTAAAAGATGCGCACGTGCACTTGCACTTATGCTTACATGTAACGTACACCTACACAAAGTTCTTCTGCTTCGACTATTACTTGTGACTTATGACTTATGCTTACACGTTTACTTTTGTTGCATTCTTGTGTCCCAAATACTCCAACTAAACAGTCACTCTAGGGAGATGGCATTCGGACCTGCCACACAGTCAGTGTCAACAAAACTTGTAGTACTGCTGCGGCTCACGCGTCGTAGAGCTCGATCAAGAAGTGGCTCTTGGTTATTCGGAAGAGAGTGTGGATCTCATTGATAAGCTGATCACGCTTTGCCTGTTTGCTGGCCGAAACGGTGCAACACGGAAAGCCCTGCCACAGCAAGGCCTTGTCCTCCACTCTCACCACTTTCACTGCCAGCGGCATGCCTAGAACAAGGGAGCGTAAAGATTGGTCAGATAGGTGTTTCGGCAGCTGAGGTGACTTGCCTGTGGGCTTGTGCACGGCACGGCACACAACGCCACCCGCTCCACGGCCAAGAAGACTTGTCTGATCCACTTCAATCTCTCCGACCCCGTCCTGGGAAGGACGACTGGGTAAAGCGCATGCCAGCGGTTGGCTACTGGCCACTGCAAGCGGACATACAGCGGGGGTCCCGAAGCCCACCCTCGCCGATGACGATGTTGGTGGGACAGTGTCTAAGCGAGCCATCCTGCACGTCGGGGTGCGCCAAGGCCTGTGCCAATGCGACTCCAGTGAGCCTCGCCTGCTGTACTGCCCAGGATTCCTGCTGGTTGGCATCCTGCAAGGTGGCCAGTAGTTCCGGAAGCTTCTGCATACATATATATATATATATATCAACTTTGCAACATCACCATGGTGCTGACATAGCTCCTGGCCGATACCGTCCAGTTGCAATGCCAAGTCGCCAAAGTCCATGTAGTAGCTTAGCTTAGGCCTTCTCCAAAGAGCTTTGTTTCAAGGTGAGCTTCTACACTGACTGACCGAATTCAGAGCCCAAGGGAGCCTAAGGAACACTTCCAAGGAACACTTCCAGGGCACCTGAGGAAAGCCAAGGCTTGAAGGCTCAGAGCGGCCCATCCTGCACATTGCACATCGTTGCACATCTCCTTGACTCGGCACAGGAACTTGCAAGGCATCCCTGTGACCTGCTTTTTGGTGCTGCTATCGGGAAACCACTTCCATGGCGGCAGCAGGAGAGCCCAGTTTCATGTGCGGGTTCCAAACTTAGGGATCAGCGTGTGGGGAGTGTGAAACAGAACTTGTCTTTCAAAGTCTCGGTCGAGGTCTGGAAAGCTGCAAAGGGCTGCCGGCTGAAGGGGAGGGGTGTTGTGATGCTGTTGCTCTGTGGGGCGCTTGTCTCTCTGAGCGGCAAGGTTCTGCTTAAGGCCACATTGAACTATCGATGCGAGGCTCGATCATGGACACAGCAGACCTAAAGACGCCAAATGACGCCAACAATCGGAAACATCGGAACCGGTCCAGAAGTCAGGAAAAAGACATGTAACAGTTGTAGACCAGCAGGGGCGGAAGTCAGGAAACCAGACCAGAGCATCCAAGAAACGTCATGCACATCTTTACTGGCGGAGGTAGACAAAGACCCAAGCCTGTGCTTGGAACCGCAAACAGCCCATTTCGGGAACATGTCTGGTGGAGAACAAAATTGTGTACATGGAAGGCACTGAGAGACTTCATCGTAATGGTTCTCCTAATGGATTAAGAGCAGCAACGATGAAATTCCGGAACAACAACTGAATTGGAGGAGCTCAACTTTTCCCGAAATCCCAAAGAAATAGAACATACCCTCGCACTTACTTGAAGGCAGTCAAGATTTCGATGGACGATTTCCCAAATACAACTAATTGCAACAACTGTTGAAACATGCTGGGCGGGGGCTTTGCGTCAAATCATTTAGTGTGAAGTCAAGACTTCCCCAATGTCACACGCGTGCACAGTCGATCATGGGACGCCATTCGTCATCCCGAAAACGGACTTGACAGCACGTCAAACGAATTGCCTTTAGTGCCGGCTTTGCAACGGTAAGCTGTGATTCAAGAATGCAAAAACATCAACGCGTTGCACAAAGTATCCTCCGAACAACAAACTTAATAGTTCGTCACACTGTTTAAAGTCAAGTCTACAGAAGCGCGCTACAATTCAGGGACCGCACAATGAAGTACCGAATCCATGCAATAGGCGTGTGGCGCGAAGCATCCTCCCGAACACAGCTATGACACCGCGTCAAATCGATTCCGTCTTAAAGTGTGAAAGGAAACCTCTGGCTGCAAGTACACTGCTCAAAGGGCTGGCTTGATGCATGGCTTTGACTAGCACTACATCTGCATCCTAGCTTTCCGCGTGTGAATGCAACAGACATCACTTGGTGCTTGCAGTCTTTTGATTCGAGCAACACGTCAGCCGGGCTGCAAGGTAGGATGACTTCTGATCCCTTGGAACAGGACCTGCCTTGCACCAGCAAGACCGGAAGCGCTGCCAACGCTTTTCATGAATCAAATCATGAGCAAATCATGGGGTGCTGGACACTGTCAACCACGCCAAACTGCAAGAGCTCAGGGGGAAGTGCGAAGTGTTGAACAATGTTGAACACTTAGCAGGAGTCTTGGTCAGTCAGTCTCCATTACCGCCCAGGCACAAACACGTCCAGCTGTCATGGGCGTGTGCTCTACTCTGGCGACCATGGAAGCACTTCGCTTCGGCATGACGCTGCAGGGACTGGAAAGAGCTGGTGCACGGGGGCGTTGTCAATCTGGATCCTATCATCTTCCCAGCAAGGACCCTCTTGGACGTCTTGCTTGGACTCCGACAAGCAGCATTTGTTCGGTCAGGTTCGGCAGTACAGGCCTCTGCAAGCAGCACACAGAGCTCAAGCTGCAAAGCCTATTGCGGTGCACAAGCGCAAGGCCAGCAAGCAACACGACGAATGTGCCGGTAAAAGTTGCAGACCTGAGTCCAACATTCTTGCAACTTTACGGACTTTACGATCAACAGTGGGGCAGAGGGGGGCACCATCTGAGACAGGCCTTTCTCTGATGCTGTCGGCTGACCTACCATGCTTCGCATAGCTGCTTCTGACTTGCAAAAGCACTTCAAGCCTCCTGGCACCGCAAGGCTTCTTGCTGTAGCTCTTCAGCAAGATCAATGTGGCCTGAACAAGATGTGAAGGGACATGTGCATGCCGCATTTACTTCATGCTTTTATATCTGCAGAGGAATACGAAAATGTCTCTGTATTTGTACATGTGCATATACACATATGTGTAGACAATTATTATCCACATTCGTAGACGCACGTATGCATATATGTATATACAGGTGTATGCATATACTTGTATATGCGTATATATATATATGTGTAGTACAAACATATGCTGCGCTGAGCACGTCGCGTCGCATGATGCTGCCACGGTGTCCTTAAAATCCATCATTCCCACTTGGCGAAGTGGAGAACGAGAAAATTCTGCTGAAAGAACACAGCTCCTTTGTTGCCTATAGGACAGAAGAAGCTCCACTGCTCTTTTTCGTACACTACAACTTCACAGAATCTTGCAGGTTGAACACGATGAGCAAGCATAATATTGGTAGCATTTGACTGTACGCTTCTTGCACAAGCAACAACACAAGAATCAGGCGAAGCACATCAGGCGATTTGTAATGTAAGGTTCCTGCCTCACATACATATATATACATGTATGTACATCATCCGTTTATCCATGTATACCTATCAATCCATCCATCCACCCTTCTATCTATCTGCTCGTGAGCGTGTAGCGCTGCATTCCAAACATGTTGCCAGTAAATGCTGAGACAGCCTTTTGCTTTCGCCAGGTCGATCGGCATTTGCAAGTTGCTTGTCCTTGCTGAGCTCAGGACATCGCATCACTGCTGCTTGACACTTGGGCACTCACTCAAGTGCATCATGTGCACCATCACGAATCAATCAAGCCGAGTCACATTGCATTTACGTCTGCCTACACATTGGTCGGTGTTGAGGCTTTGAAAATCTTTGTTTAATTGAAGATAACTGTTTGAGTTGCTCATCGTGCGTGCTGAACAATGGCCTGGCTCGAAAGGAGCAGTCTGGCAACGGCCTTCATGCCGGAACGAGATTGAGTACCAAGCGAATCATACAACCGCAACCTCTTCCTGAGCCCTCTGCCCGTTGACCCCTACTAGCTGCATGGTGCAGCGCAGTGGCACCCCACTGGTCCAGTTCTTGCACCTGCCCAGGGCGATGTACACGAAAATGAAGAACTGTGTGTCTGGCTCACAATCACCATCATCTTACCATCATCATGATCATCATCATCATCATCCAAGCAAAGCACAGTACAAGTTAGTAAGACGTCCATGTGCGTGCGTCGTGGGTGCGCGTGCTTGCGTGTGCATGCATGCGTTGTGTGTGTGTGTGTGTGTGTTGGTGCGTGCTGGTGCGTGCGCGTGTCTGCATGTCTGCGTTTCTGGTGTCGAATCTGAGTGTGCGTGTGTGTGTGTGTGTGTGTGTGTGTGTGACGCTCGCGTGCGCATGTGCCTGGGTCTCTGTCTCTGTGTGCACGCGTGCATGCGGTCGTCTGCCTGCTTTTATTGTCGGGTACAGAGCAGAATTTAGGACCGGTCCCAATCCTGAACTGCTTGAACAAACATGCAGCCTGGTGCAGGGGTGTGGACTTTGGCTATGTCGATGTCGACGGCTCAAATAGGATACATTTGCAGTCATGCAGACGTTGCCAGATGAGCCGGTTCTGACAAACCTCACAGCCTCTTGGAGTGGAGAACGAGTAACTGATCAGCATGTGGTGGACGTCTGCTCAGCTCATGGCTTCGTCGCACGTGTGTCGTGCGCTACTGCGGACAGGCGCTTTGGCCCAAACTGTCTGCAACGGCAGTGTGCTCAAGTGTGCTCACGCTGGTTGAGCTTGTCCCCTCTTGCCCTTCCGGACCTGCTCGGATCCAGATAGGAGTCCATTGGGAAGATTACGTAGATGCTTTTGTAGCACTCTTCGTAGCGCAAGGCGCGCATCAAGTTCAGGTCCGAGGACGCCGCTTGGTCCAGCAGAATGGAGGCAGTTTCCGGAACTGCGCGGTACCTCCAGGAATGAGTAGGTGCGGTGAATCTCTTGACTGTTTGGATCCGCCTTTGGCACGGTGCCTTGCAAATTCGGCAAGCACATCAACTGACTGTGGTACAACATGGCAGTCGTACAGCCGCACAGCCTGTGAAACCCCAGCAAAACGTTTGCAACAACCAAAAAAAATCTGTTCAGCAACAAACGAACTTTCTAGCTATCCAAAATATGTTTCCTCGGAGTGGAGGGTGCCCCAATCCCGCCTTCGCCTTCCCCTGCACCTTGCATGGTCTGGAAATCGTGCTCTCCTGCCCCATTAAACCCTAAACCCTAAACCTTAAACCCTAAACCCTAAACCCCGGATTTTCCGTTCTAGCGGGTCCCGGATGGGTTGTGCATGGTTGTGCCTTCGGAAAAAGTCCATGTGCATTTTTGGTGATGTACTGAGTCCACTCTTTGAGAAGCTTTGGGGCCGGGCTTTCGTGGAGGCGGACGGGCCTTCCGTACGTTCCAAGGATGAGTTCTCGCAGATCTTGGGTAGACCTTGGTCAATTTCTCCTCGATTAAGTTCCATCGTTCCAGCTATATTGGTTTTGATCCTGCTTAGTGCCAGCTTAGTGCCAGCTTAGGAAGGTTTCTTTTCCATTCTTTTGGCGAGTGCTTGCTTGGGACCTTTTGCTTTCCATTTCGGACTTCTCGTTCCCCAACACAAGCCCCCAAGCACGCTAGCACCCACGCATCCTGCGACTGAGGAAACTTAACTCCATGATGCCAGAGTTCAAGCACCTGTGTCCCTTCAAGCGGCTCTTCAAACAGTGAGACTGTGTTGGCCCGGGTGGTTGATTGCTGAGTGCCCAGTACACTGTGAAGAAAAACCCCTGAAAGACTCGAACCCTACCTTGCATACCTCAACTCTCGCCTCGTTCTTCCTCCTCTTCTTCTGCGCGCCTTGGGTCTTCCTTCCTTCCTTCCTCGCAGATAACCCCACGAAGGGGTTCGCCCTGTGGGCGTGTTCCAGCCAATACGCTTGAGTCTCTCTCTCCCCCTCTCCTCTTCCCTTCTTCCTCTTCTCCACTGGCCCCCCCCTTTTGCCCTTTGCCCCCTTCCCCTTTGCCCCTTTTCCCCTTCCGAAAGGAAGAATGTTTTTGCTTGGAAAAGAGGCTTTGCTTGGACAGGCAATGCTTTTCATTGGACAACAGTTGCGTACTTTTTGAATGGCATCCCGGCGCACGTGGCGTCCACGAAGTCTGGCCAGTCAGGATGCCTTTCTTTGAGCTGGAGCCTGAGAAGATTTCAATGACCATCAAGTGAGTGCTGCTAGGTCTGACTCACACGACATGAACATGCTAAGGCTGCTGCACAAGTTCCAAATCAACTCCTTGGGTACAGGTCGGAAAGAGCGAGCTGCACTCACAGATGCTTGTGGCGAGCGTTGCGAGATCTCAGTGCATGGCGTACTCGCTCAGCGGATGCATAATCCGGCTCCAGGAGCATGCGCCTTGTGGCTCGAAGTATCTGGAAGTACTGAAGCCGAGTGAGGCCGTTTTGGGGCCGGGCAGGTTGCGTTGCTGCATGTCCAGGGCTCGGCTCTGGCCTGTCAGCACACATTTGGCACACGATGAGGTGCGACTCTCCTTACAGTTCATATCCTTGCATCATTCGCTCGCAGCCGCTGGCACCATCATCAAGCGCATCATGTGATGCCAGGGCCAAAGCGCAGCTGGATGAGCCGTTCTTCGTCCATCGTGATGAGCCCGACCTAATGGCAAGTTCATAGTAAGTTCTGCCAGAGTGATGCTGTGCGCTCTCAGGACTGCTTGGATGGGGACCTGATACGGCTTGAGGTCGGAGACTTCTGCGGGCACCGGGTCATAGGGTGAAATGTTCAGGCTCGCTGCCTGGCAACAGGTGATGCTGATCTTCCTTTTGTAACGACGCAGCTTCGAAGACGTGGAAGCAACTGTATGTCAAGTGTGTTCGAAGTGGGGCTGCATAGAATACGTACATGAAGCTACTTTTTGACTGCGAAACCCTGAGGCTATTGGCACATCCAGCAGCCATGATATACTTGCAAACTCTCGAAAAAAGCAAGTTGTATTCCCCCTTCGACTTTTTTGGCCGCAGCGCCACCCGATGAATAGACATCCGCTCACCCATGTAGTAGGCCTCGGTCTCGGTGGTTGCAAGCCTTTGCAGGGCGGTCTTCGGGTTGCTTTAGGAACTTTAACTTTAGGCCCTACCGGTACAAAGCTCAGAGGCGGCCTGGGCAGCGGAGATGATGCGAGCCTGGGATGAGGGCTTTGGGGTGCCTGAAAGGGCTTTAAGGGTCAGATTAAGCTGAAGAAGCTTAGGACTTCATGACCGCCATCAGGCCAGGCACCAGCCAGGACCCAGTGCTCTGCGACCCCCTCGTAGCTCGTGTTGCTGCTGACGACGTGAGCGCCAGGATTTCCCGAGCTGCAGGGAGTAGAGCTGCAAGATGCTACATCGTTGCTACATCATGCTTGCCCACTACGCGCACACTTCATGCCGTTGTGGGTTTTCGCTGGAACAGAAGCCGCCCTAGGACCCTAGGAGTTCAGATGCCCGGTGAGTTGAAAGCATCTGAACACAGTTAGCGGCTTCAGCGTCACGTGGATCCCAGGAGGCTGGGGCAGGCTGTTACAGATGTTTGTGTTTATGATTCGAAAAAGGGGAGTTCTTCTTGCTTGCGTTTGGGGGGACATATTCGCCCTGGCGCATTCTGTGTGGGCTGATAGCGTTACTATGCGTGACTCACCCCTTTTGGGAAGCCTACACCCCTAGGTAACTCTGCTGACCCTGGCGCTAGCTTTCGTGACATGGCACGCCCATGGACCCTCAAGATGCCTGTTCGCTGCCAACTTCAGGCCCGAGAGAGCCGTCCACAACAGCTTCCCAACCGTCAGCTTCCGCCAGGTTGCGCAGATTGACAGCGAGGTCCTCCACGTTGCTCTGTACCTGTCAGTGGCGTGGCTGCAACTTCTCACCAGCTGAACTGATTGGTCCCGGTAGCACAGCAACGAATGAAGTGTTGGGTCTTCTTTGCAGTCAAAGATCCAAGAGGAACCCGTTTCCTCCTCGCTTCAGCAGACAGTCTCTTGCTGCTTGAATCATCTGCTTGTTGGCCATGAAGTCGGCAGACTCTATGTTCTGGGGAAGGTGACCTTTGCAAGCAACCAAAGCAACACGTTCGGCAAACCTGCAGCTAAGACAAGTGGCGGTTTCCGCTCGAGAACGCGGTGCCTGAGTTGCACAACTCCAGCATTAGTGACAGTTTTAGTTTTGTAAAGTAGTGCAGCGTAAGGCGAGGAAAAACGCTACAGCGGCTACAGTACGGTCAGGAAAAGCCATCCAAGGCGAGGTGCCGTTCGTGTCAAGGTTGGCGAAGGGTGTTGGGAAGTTGATCAGCACCCAAGACACGTTGCCGCGGTATTCTGCCGCCACAGTCGATAATGCTTGCTTTGCATCACCGTGTACAAAAGCCAGCTTCTGTTCGGAAAGCCGCCAGCGCTTTGCAATCGAGTGCGCGAAGCTTATACAGTGTGCAGAAGCATCGACCGCCAAAGTGCTGAAGCCAGACACTGCAAGCCCAAGGCTAGAGATGCCAAAGCCACATCCCAAGTCAATTACCAGGTTCGGCGTTCCTGAATTCAATGCATCAACAGCTTCAGAGAGCTCTGCCGTGGCATCCACGGGTGGTATGCTTTTGCGGCCTTGGCGAGTCGCATGACGAAAAAGCCATAGTAGCGGACGCTCAGAGTGCAGGGAGTAATTGCCTGCACGTAGATCGACGAGGCTGGACGTGTTTGGACACCCCAAGCCTTGCAATGCTGCTAGGCCGGCGCTAAACAGCTGTGGATGGTCGCACTGGCGATACCCGGCCGCTGCAGACTTTTCGACGATTTGTTGCATGGTGATCAGGGCAGACTTGTTGGCTGTACGCTCAATCTCTTTCAACGTTGTACTGGCCAGTTCTTCAAAGAGATCCTGATCCGCGCAGCCTGCCAGCGCCAGCACCATCGCCAAGTCTGCCGCCTGCCTTCCAGGCAGTGCTTGGTGCTTCCTTGCAGCATCTGAGCGCAATCGCTGCCACACTGCGGAGGACGCAAGGGCTGTAAGCCGTTCCACATCCCTG